GCCTAAGGGAAAAAGGGGAAATGCAGATCTCATGACAAACATTATTTGATACAGATTAAGTCAGGGACAGCTTCTACTGTCCACAGATGGATGCGGATGCGGGTGAATCAGTTCAGAGTTCATCTTCCTCCCGATTACTGCAACTCAGCAAATCTGCTCAGATGGAAACATGTGACATTATAAAAGACCAAAATTAAACAATGATTAAACTCTCAAAATAAGGAAGTTGACCCAAGCTCTCACTGCCAAGTATTTTGAATGATGAAAATAACCACCTCAACTTTGTTCTAACAGTGCCAGATTCATCATCAAATAGATTTTAAATTGATATTACTTATACATAGTAATGGTTTTAGTGTCTCCTGTGTTACTTCATTTGAAGTTCTTATATTTTAGACACTGGTAGATGATGAGGCACATTAATGTACGGATAATCCTGTTAGGGAGTGTAATCTCCTTTTCTCTGTAATATACGTGGTAATATTTGCTGGGTTTTTTTTTGTCAGCTAGTTCAGCTGAAAATACATGGAACACACATTTACACCTGCAGTGCAGTGTGGAAAAAAAGTGGGCATTCAGATATTATGCAAAAAAAAAAAAAACTGAGCTGGAAGATAGAAGGTAACATGTTGTCTGTTATGTACATTAAATATACAGCAAAGCTCAGATATAACAGAGTGAGAGCCATTGTGACAAGTTTTTATAAAATATTAATGTTCATCTTATCGGGTAAGTGTGCAGGCAGCTCTGGCATGTTGGCAAGTGAGAGTCAGATATTCAACAATAACTATCCATCACCATCGTCTCGGAGCTTAGCTAGTTTGCTGCTTACTTTACTTGTCATGCCTTGTCATCACTTCCCATTCAAAGATGCTCAATCACACTTCAGCTGAACTGTCTCCCTCCACTACACACTTGACGCGTGTTTAAAGTTGCRTGCTGGCAACAATGCCAGTCAAATGTGGACTGCTGTATATGCACATGATGTACGGAGATCCAAAGGGTTCCAGTTCCACTTGTGTTTTAAATTAAACACTCCAGATGTCTGTTCCATGGTGCACAGCATGCCATGTGCTGATCCAATGCTCTGCAGTGTGCACGCTGCTGTTATGCGTGAATGACGTGTGTATCGCCTCGCACAACTCTTGAGTCGGTATGAACCCAAACAGCTTGCTTTTTGTGTCTGTCTCTCAGCTTGTGATCAAATTAAATTGCGATGTTTAATATTCTGGGTAAGTAAAACTGAACTCTCTTTGTTACTGTTTCTTCAAATTATTTCACACTACAGACCTGGAAAAAAGGCTCCTCTTAAAGTATTTTACTAAAATACATCTGATCACATTCTTCAGTGAAATGTAACTCATTTAAACAGTGTTCTCTAAGGTGGTTTTTTAAAGGAGACTCAGTGGCAACATGAAGGTTTTATTTTTTCCACAACAGATTGTGCAACAAAMGGAAAATTATGATGGCTTAACTGCAAGATCATGGTAATTCTATTCCTGAACCAAAGAAACATGAAAAATTAAGGAGATGACCGATTTCCAGTTAGTCTGATAAATGGACCTTTGGCAACWTTGTGAATAGCTTGTACACTTGGGAGCTCAAATCATCTTTGGAACATTGTCCGGATTTACTTTTATTATTAGCTCTTGTGAAGGCTGTAAATTGCAAGTGACTGAAATGTCCTTGCTTTAGAGTCAGAATGTCTACCTTATGAAAACATGCTTAGTTGTAAGGACATTGTTCAGGAGTGTAATCCTGTGCCCTATCATTGCAACACGTATCATGAAAAATAAATAAATTGTTGTTGCTAAAAAAAATGGAAGGAAGAAAATAAAACCAGCTGTTGCCTCCAGATATAGGATATAAGAATATTCAGTGATTTTAAAGAAAATATTGTTCAAACTCATTTAACTAAAACAATGAATTTATTTATAGTACAAAACACTGGATAAGTATAACCCTATACTGTGTTTTGTCTATTTTTTTGTTTGTTTCCATGACACCAGGTGAGGCGCAGTCTACCCTGTCGCCGGTGACCSCACCATTGATATAAATTACAGGAGTGAGCGTCACGTGACCCRGGCGTGCTTCGCAAGGGGGATTTTTATGYATTGAGCTAATGCTAAYGCTGACCATTGAAATCAATGAGCAGAAGGTAGCGCGGTGCAAACAAACACTTTATAAACATACAAATGGCACCAGGGYTGGACTGGGACCAAAAAAYGGACCRGGCATTTTTTGGTCCTGGCGGCTCACCATCAWTATTTATAWAATATGCAAATGGACACGACATACCAGAGGATGTGTTTCATGATGTGTTTCACAAGTTAAAGTGCAGCAGCCTACAAGGAAGAGAGTAACCATGTTTAAAAAAAAAAAAAAAAAAAAACCTGATGAGCTCTTCTTCCACTCAGAGACTTTAATGTTCATGAGGTTCTGATGCTCAGTCAGTGGAGACAGAACAGATCAGACAACTGCTAAACTTAGAGTTTTCAGTCATAAAGAAGGATTTCTTTAGGACTGGTTAGCTCACCATGGTAACAGAGACTGTACTCAGTTACTGTCAGTAAGAAGCTCTTTCTTTACCTGGTGACACTGAAAATATCACAATGTGACTGAAACAGTATTTATGTGTCATCACATTTCTACCTGCTGTAAGATTTTAAACTAACAGATCATCAAATGAAACAAAACTAAAACTTCCACCTTCCTAAAAGTCAAATGTAGAGCTCTGATTCACATCTAAAGGTTTCATTTTTAAATTTAATATACTACAGTGTTCATTTAGGAGTGTATATTCTATTTAAGTTAACATTTAGTATAATAAACAAAATGGATTCTAATTTCAGGTCAAATTATTTCATTTGACCCAAACCTATTTATTTATTTCTAATCTTTCAAC